AAAGAGTAGGCGATATATTGGTTGCTTCCCTTATGAAAGCACCAAATTTCTAACAAGGAAGGTCGTTCAGGGTGTGCCAAGCTTTTTCAAAACGGTTTCTTGCATGATATAGGGGCACATGCGGGAACCACAGAACCATGGTTCATTTTTCCTGAACGGCCCTCTGAATACCAGAAAAGGGGTCCCTAGTTCGATTCCTCGTGGTGACAAATTTTTGCATTTCGAGTTGACGTTTCAAAATTCGCGCAAAATGGAGTTAGCATGAATAATTAGTACCATATTCATGATTAGGACCGTCAGTAACCCTTACAAATAGACTTTGATTAAAAATTCGCGACGAGCGCGATTTTTGCAAGCGCGCTCCCACGGACGGGCGCCTTTTTTGGCGCATCGGCCGCGGCAGTCCATACGGGCTGCCACCGTCCCAGAAAACGCGCAAAGGATGAACGACGACGAATCAATCGCAGTTTCAACGCTTTCTTACTCGACAGTGACGAGGAAGTAGAAGAATCTGCAGTGGATTACGATGGCATTCTCACTGTCAATGACGACGGAGAAGAATCGGACGATGACACACCGGAAGAACGTGTTTTTGATGAGGACGGCTGTTCTTTCGATGTAAAGAAGCTTTCTCCATACATCTTCGAGAAGGAATCCGTCATTGTAGGAATCGATGACACTACCTTCAGCAAACCTTTTGACTTCTTCCGCCTATTCTTGAACGACGACTTGCTTACATTTATCGTGCAGGAAACCAACCGGTATGGACTCAACAAGTCAGCGAAATTCAAGGAAGTCGACGTAAAAGAAGTGATGCAATTTCTGGGATTGTGCTTTTATATGGGACTGGTGAAGATGCCAACATTACGCCACTACTGGTCGATCCCTTTTACCCTCCCCAAATCCCTTTTTTGCAGTTCAAGGAAGACGTTGTGGAGAAACTATTAGAAAAAAGACAAGATACGACTCGCAGTCAAAAGAGGATGCTGGAAATGATTGACAAACCCGTTGGAAAGCGTGTGCGAAAAAATTGCTATGGCTGCTACCAACGCTTGAGCTCCAACGCAGGACGAGAAGAAGCCAGGAAAAATAGTTACCAGAATTTATACCAAATGCCCTGTTTGCGAGAAATTCGTTTGTTTGCATTTTTTTAACGGGAAATAAAATCGTTCTTTGAAAGTTTTTCTCTGCCGACGATTATTGGGTTTATATTAGCCCCTAACTATCTCGTTGATATTGTGAATATTCAATAAGATTGTGATATAAACAAATGGCAGGCAACTATATTGACTGGCAGGCCATATGGGACTTGCCATCGCCCCCAGGGCACATGCTGTTGGCAGTCCATATGGGGGCGGCCCGGCGGTTATGTGTTTAAAACTGATGTGGAAAGTATACAACTGTGAACACAGGGGCCATTATTGTGTGACCTTTTTCGCCAGTTTTTTTAATCAAAGTCTATTTGTAAGGGTTACTGACGGTCCTAATCATGAATATGGTACTAATTATTCATGCTAGACTCCATTTTGCGCGAATTTTGAAACGTCAACTCGAAATGCAAAAATTTGTCACCACGAGGAAATCGAACTAGGGACCCCCTTTTTTGGTATTCAGAGGGCCATTCAGGAAAAACGGACCATGGTTCTGTGGTTCCTGCATGTGCCTCCTATATGATGCAAGAAACCGTTTCAAATAGCTTGGCAACCCTGAACGATTTCCCTTGCAAGAGACTTGAGCAATGGGGACTTCAGCCAGGTTAGTTATGCTGTGTGTTTACGGAACTTTACATAAGTGGGGATTCCTTCCACTTATACATTCCATCAGGAATGATTGCACGAATGTAGTGTAACTAAGCTTTCGTTCGGAAAGGAAAGTCGTAATTTTAGATTCCAATTGGGTATAAGGGTGAAAACTGCCTTCCAGCCACTGCTCTCATCCAATTTTTTTATTCTCCGAAAAAACAAAAAAATCGAATGGGATTAGCCTGAATGGAAAGGAAGATGAAAGCATGATTTGCCTTGCAAAGTTTGCTCTTCACACCGGAAACATAGGTAAAAAATCGATTTGCTGCAAATTGACAGAACCGAATCAAAATAGGTGAGGAAAGAGCAGAGCGAGATTCGAATGGAAAGAGAAAGGGGTTTTTAACTTGGTTCACCTTGACAAGTTTAAACTTTGTCGTTGAGTTTCGGAGCAGAGGCGCAAATCTCTCAGAGAATTTTTACAACAAGTCTAATCCCTTGACCTCTGCCAAGACAAGAAACAAGTGAGCCGGCACAATTCATTTAACCTAGGCGCTTTGAGCCAAATCGCAGTCCATCATGTTGTCTATACACACCTTATTTGCTGAGCACAACGCTTTTGACACCATTTTCGGCATTCCGGAAAAGAGCGGGCGACTGAGTAAAGCCCCAACCAAAAGAACCCAGAAGCCAGCTGTGTGAGAGTGATGCATACCAGCCGAATGCCACCTAAACAAAGCACCTCATCCGTCACATCTGGCAACGCATCTTAACGACCTGATATTCAAGTTATATAAGTTTTTGTAAGATTGGGCGCCAAGAAGCCACCTGCTTGGATCAGACCAAGGCAATTCGTGGGATATTATATAGACCACATCATTTCTAAGGGAAGCTTACAGCAGCACATTGCCCGCCGCATACCACACCACTGAGAAGAATCGCTTCACTTGACTTGTATGACTTTTTTCTACGTTCTCAAGTTTCATGTGCACCCGAAAACAAGCACACTTGTGAGATGTGCTGACAAACTGCGAAACTGGACCACTCACAAAAAAATGGAGCAAAAGAAGAGAAAATAAGTGAGAAAATAAACGAATTATCGGAAGGTACGGTTTCCTAGTTCGGGATATCTGAGCAGAACAAAGCGTCGCTTTAACAAAAGGTGCGGGCTCGACCGGCCTATGTAGTTGATATTTGGTATATATTTATTATATTATATTACACCTATTATTTCATATTTTTTATTATTTTATTTTATATTTCAAATATTTTGCCCACAACTTAGCATTCTTGCAATATCTTATGAGCCTTCAAGCCTTCGCCAGGCGATTTTGAGCAGATGTATAAAGAGGTACAACTCCCGCGCCTGAGGATCGGTCTACCTTGCAAATGTAGGGAGCCGTTCCCTTAATGGTAAATGCGACTTAAAGGCATGCCCCAGGATCACATTGGTGTGGCTCTTGCACACGAATGCGAATGTATTGGTGCGAAATGGGCCGGCAGTAAAGAAAAAAGGAAAAGAATCCGTGAAAACGCTTAGGTTAAGGGCTCACTCACCTTCCTAATCGGCTGTGCTAAGGGAATGAGAGACTAAGCGCGAGAGGAGAGTATGAGGCGAGAGAGCGCTACAGATGAGAGAGCGCCAGACAACAGCCTGATAAGAAGAAAAAAGCGAGGCAGCTTCCAGCAGCTTACTTGCACAAGGCCCAAGCGCTCCTGTAGCCCTATGGATCCGTGCCACGGCGGACGCCACCATTTGCGATTCGTCCTTTAGGGCTATGACTCACAGACCCGAAAGCGAAGCTTCATACGACCTCTGCTGGGTTGTTGTCTTTAGAGAGCGGTATATCATATCAATCCCCGCTCGAGAACCTTACAAACCATCACAAATGGGCTGAACCTGTTGTAGTGGTACGGTGCGCACTGTGCTGCAACCACACATTCCGTGCCATGCCAAAGGTTTTTACTCTTCTTCTGTGTCGGTTACATGAAACCAGATGATTAAGGGAGAACAAAAGCATTGACTTCATAGCCTGATCCCTCCGAATTATTGAATGAACCAAAACGTATTGAGGGTTCATTCATTCTATGGTTCTAGATGGAAGTGGAATGCGTGAAATATCGCAAAAAACTACCAGCGAAAGCTTCATTTTTTTTACGCATATATTGTGACTTCAGCTGCTATCTCTACAGCTCCAGGACTCTTAGTCTTAGTTATTCGGATCAATTCCTTCAAATACCTACCTGTGATATACCGACGCTCTTGACAGCAAGTCATGGAGATCGACTGCTGTGCTGAACTTCTCGATGCCAGTGCTGCGCTTACGAGTTTCTTCTCCACTGACCCTTCTATGATTAACTCTTCCAGGATGAGTAGCAGGTTGAGGTTGACCGCAACCACGACGAGAATTACTATGAATAATCACCATCGACGATGGGAAGGAAGACAGCAGATAAGTACCGTGTATGGGAACAAACTATCAAAATACGTGGGCACACCGTGTGGACTCAGCGTCAGGTATACTCTCTTATCTGTACTCCAAAAGCAAAGAGTAGTATTGAGCAAAACAACGAAGTGTGACCTACCTATTGCAATGTTTGACAGATAAGCAACTGATAGTCCAATATTTTTCAAGGGTAGAATCTTTTACTCTCCAGAAGCACATCACATTTCGATGAGCTTAACAGATTCTGCAGGGTTGTACCACTTCACATCTGCTCTAAATTGCCTACTGAAGGCTTGAAGGCCCATATGATATCACAAGAATGCTAGTTTATGAGCAAAATTATTCGCCTTATCCGC